GTACTTCAGCTAGTGAAGTTTCTTTCTTTTTTATTTATTTATTTTTGGTGGAACTGAGGATTGAACTCAGGCCATGTGCTTGCCAGGGAAGTACTTATTCCACTGAGCCATCTCCCCGGCCCTAGTCAAGTTTCGTAGTAAGCACATTTTTGAGTGTGGCTATAGGTGCATGCAGAGTGTTTTGTGTATTTTACAGCATCTTGTGGCATTTCATCTATTATAATTTCCAATATTGAATGACAGTGCTGGCATTCTGACCAATAGGTTTCATCCCTGCCAAGATTCTCATGTTTTCAGACCCATTTCTATCTAGTACTGGATCTTTCCATTTGGCTGTGTGACTTTTTTTTTTTTTTTTAATCTGGATAAAGGAGGGCTTCATTCCATATGTCTGTATCAGTTTATTGTTGCTCAATTTCGCTGTCACAGGAACTGCACTGTGCTGTCAGCAGTCGTCGTCATCAGTTACATATGTATGAGTCACCTGATGATTCACTTTCAGCCTCCTCCAAAACTTGCAAATCTGGTTTTTCATGTGCCATCTTACTGAACTGTATTCCTGGTTTCTCCAGGCTCAGAATCTGAGCCACACCCACACTCTAGTATGGTGCATTATGTATTTACATAACAAGAAGAATGGTATGGGTGTATTTTTATCTTCTGTGAGATCCAGAGAAACATACACAAAACCTGTTACATGGAGCCTTAATGGGTAAAAATCTCAGTTTGACACACACATGCACACACCCTTTGTGGTAACAAGTGGGTAAACACAAAGGTTGCTTCCTGAATTTCCCAGGGTCAGCTGCTCATTTGCATAGCTGGCTACTATTATGCTAAAGTACAAGTGGAGGAGTATGGGGTGGGATTTTGTAAGTAAGGTCCTGAAGGAACATGTGTAGTGTCATTTCTGCCTTTTGTGGCCCACAGGGTCATAACATTGTATTCAACATAATGTTTTGTTCTTTGCATGGTTATTTCATAGACTTTTATTCCAGCTGAATTTTTTTGTGTATGTAATACGTGATGTGGCTTTTTTTTTTTTTTTTTCCTTTTTTTTTTGGCAGAACCAGGGATTGAACTCAGGCCCCTGAACTTGTCTGCCAACCGCTTATTCTACTGAGCCATTTCCCTAGCCCCCGTGTATGTAATATGTATCTGTGAAAAGATTTTATTTCCATTTAGTAGATTAGTATTGATGATGTACTGATATTTTCAAATAGCTTATTTACTGTGAGATGCTTTTGAAAGCCCAAAGAAATATCAACTACTAAGTAAAATAATTTTTACTATATTTTTAATAAGTAAACATTTGTAGAATTAATAATACACAATATATGGCATATTCATGCTTTTTACATTATAAGCTTGATTTTACTGAACCTTCTATAAGTTGATTTCCTTTAGAAATGTACACTGCATAATGTAACATACCTATATGTATCAGCATTATTTCTCAATAGCACTTCATTCATCTTTATGTCACTTTCTAAGAGCAAATGAACATTCTTGATGACTATACCCAAATATACTTTCCCCTCCGTAGAGGCGGTAACTACTGTGATACTCTACATATTTCTTGGATAAAATTCTCATTTATCTATTGCTCTTCATTTCTAACAGCTTAAGTCCCCCCATTCAACTGACCTGATTATTTTTTTTTACTGCTGTTCTTTTAGTCACTGAGACTTAACTTCAGAGAGGGGTTTTGGGTTCTACAATCTCATCTGTAAGCAGTTGTCAAGTCTGTTCCCTCCTTAGTTAAAATCAGCATTATGGATTTTTCTCATGGCTGTCATAGTCCAGAAAGATTTTCTGTGAATTTAACCTGATTCCCTAAGTCACAGAGAAAAAGATTTTTTTTTGTTCTAGTTTCTCAAGATGTTGTACTGTCCTTAAAAGTTTAAAATCAGGATAGTTTTTTTCTTATTTTATAGTGTCTTGTTATAAACCATTTAGAAAGAAATACTTCGTTTAGTTAGTACATTTAAATTTGTTTAGTAAGTACATTTCCATTGTTGTGTAACTGCCATCATCTAACTCCAGAACTTTTTCATTTTACCAAATTGAAATATTAAATGACTCCTTTTCTCTCTACCTCAAGTCCTTTGAAGTCACCATTCTACCATCAATCTCTATAAACTTGGCTTTTCTAGGTACTTTGTAGAGTGCTATAATATATGTCCCTTTCTCACTTTATGAAAAGCCTGCTGATTCTTTATAGTTAACAGCTTTTCACATAGCCAGAAGAATTCACCTGTCTCCTGTTGATTCTTATCTAAGTTCAGTTTTTATCAGACATCACTGATGTTATTGTTTTGTTATTCTAAGAATATAGGCTGAATCCACTATGGTAAAACGTCAAAAAATGTATTTTTGACTAGTACTATATTCAAAGTATGACATGACAGTTACCTTTTTTGGAGACAAGTGGAATTATTGATCTCGTATCCCGAGGTAACTTATGCATAGATACCAAATACATTTTGTGTGTTTTTATATTCCTCTTCACTTTGTACAATTTCACCTCCATGATACATTGTTCTGTAAAGTTAAACAATATGTTTTGGAGATTGTTCTCTCCTACTAAGTAAAGGTTTCCTTAATCTTCATATCCTCATTATAGTCCATGTTAAAAATTTTGCAGATTACACTAATTTCCTTCCCCTTTGATGTATATTACCAGTCTCTTAGTGTTATAAGCAATTATAGCAAATGATTTTGTTTCATATTTTAAAGAGCATAATAGTTATTATGTTTCATATTGTTGTCTTCAAAGTAGTTCAGATTAGCAGATATAAATATGTAAAATTGATCAAAACATTAAGCATTAACTATTCTTTTCAATAAACCAGTAGAAATTAGTAGTAGTTTTAGCTATATTGTATACACACATACTTCCTTTCCTTTTTCTCCTTTCCCTCATCCCAGTTCTTAACTTTTGAGTAGTTTCTTTTCCTTTCACATTATTTATTGTACCATTCTCTTTGAGGTTGTTACATTAGGAAGACAATACAATGTTTACACTTGGAGGTCTGATTTATTTTACTTATGAGTATGGTCTCTAGTTTTTTTACCTATAAAAGTCTTAAGCTTATCTTTCTATATAACTGAGTAGTACTCCACTGTATGAAAATACCACATCTTTTTAATCCATTCCTCAGTTGATGGGCATTTGGGTTGTTTCTCAGATTGAGCGATGGCAAATTGTGCTGCTATAAACATGGGTACACATATATGATGTTTTCGGTTCTTCTAGAAAATATAAGGAGGGGAATAGCTGGGTTGACTGGTACCTATAATCCTAGATTTGGGGATGCTCACACTAGATTTCCATAGTGGTTGTACCAGTCTTGACTCCCACCAACAGTAGAGAAGGGTTCCTTTTTCTCCACAATCCTTCTAGCATTTGTTACTGGTTGACTTCTTGATGATAGTCATTTTTTTCTGGCCTAAGATGGTATTTCAGCATTGTTTTAATTTGCATCTCTTGAATGACCAATGATGTTGAATATTTTTTCATATTTTTATTTGCCATTTGTATCTGTTCATTTGTGAAGTGAATCTTCATCTCAGATGTCCAGTTTTGGGTTCAGTCTCTGGTTTTGGAGGCCAGAATTTTTTTCTTTTTTAATTCTTTATATGTTCTAGATAGAAGTCCTTTGTTTGAGAGACAGTGGGCTAAATTTTTTCCCCCAGTTCATTGTTTTGCTTTTTATCCTGTTGGTAATTTTTCCGTTTCTTTTTTTTTTATGTACAAAAACTTTTCAGTAAGATGAGATCCTAGTTGTTGATTCTTTGAAATATTTCCTGTGCAGTTTGGATTTTATTCATGATTTCTGTGCTGACCCTTATGTCTTGAAGAGACCTAGAATACCAAAAGCAATCTTAGGCAATAGAGGCAAAGCAGAAGGCAACAGAATCCTGGACTTGAAATTATACTACAAAGCTGGTGTGATGAAATCATCATGGTTCTGGCAGAAAACAGACCTGAGGATCAGTGGAACAGATTAGAAGATGCAGATACAACTACAGACACACTCAGCCCCCTTATCTTTGACAGAGGAGCCAAACATGTTCACTGAAAGAATGATAGCTTCTTTAATAAATGGTGCTGGAAAAACTGGCTTTCCACATACTGAAAACTAAAACTATTACCGATGTCTATTACTTTGCACTAAACTAAAGTCAAAATGGATCAAAGATCTAAATATTAAAACAGAAACACTAAATCTGCTAGAAAACAAAGTAGGTAGAAATTTTGTTACATGTTGTTTTACACATATATGACTATTGCCGTATATTGTGGTTTGTGTGTAGGTTCCCCCCCCCCTCCAAAAAAGAAGCCTCATGCAGTCATGGAGTGGCTTCTTGAGTGTGTGATTAATTCATGGTCTAGTGGTGAGATTATGGGTGAGAGTGCTGTACCCGCCATGGGGAAGATAGCCTGGGAGAGCCTTGCTGTTGTTGCTGCTGCCTTTGCTCCTGCCCTGCCTTTTTTGCTCTTGCTGTTTTCCATTGCCATGAATTGCTGCTCTCTGCCATGTGCCTCTCTGTCTTGGAGCCAGCTAAGTGTGGACTAAAATCTCCACAAACCGAGCTAAATAATTTAACTTTTCCTTCTTTCATTTTGGTTATCAGATATTTAGTCCCAGCAATGAGAGAGAAGTAACTGAAAACTGTAGGATCTATTTCTTGAAGTGGGATTTCTGTTCAGATATGGACAGAAATGTGTGGAATGTGTTAGGGACAGCTCATTGGTAGAGCACTTTGCTAGTGTACACAAGGCTCAAGGTGTGATTTCCAGCACACATCCCCCCACACCAAAAACTGAAGATACGATTTTTGTTGTAATTTTGAAATTAGATGTTAGTGTTCTGAAACTATGGAATTTTCTTATAAATTTTAATGAAATCTCACTTTATAACAAATGAAAATCTAAAGAATTATAATCACTAAGGTATTAGTGACATTTTATGACATTTTTTTCTATTTTGCAGATACACCAAACTAGGATATGCTGGAAATACAGAACCACAGTTTATCATCCCTTCTTGTAAGTATTTCTTTTAATCCACAAGTAAAAGAGCTCCCTTATGATCAAAGTACATAAGATAATCAGTTCTGGCTTTCTGTAAGATTCAGTCCTTTAAAACACAATTTACCAAGTTGTGACTATGGTCTTATTTCTGTCCCTGTAACTGTTCATTTCAGTTTTCTGTTAATTTCTCCCTTTACCATATTTATCAAATCTCTTTGAAGAAAAAATATCAGTGAGCTGATACAGATAAGATACTACTTGTTAATTATATAATTCCCTGCATTGACTATATTGCTGTCAGTAGTGTGTGGATTTAACTAATTAATAATACCTTCTGCATAGTATAGGTACAGAGACTGTCCTTTGGCTTGGAGCTGTGCTTTTTGTTTGTAGGATCTGTGCATGTTGGCATCTCCAGTGAGTACCCATATTTCAAAATGACAATGGGAGGAGTCTTACTTTCAGTGATACTACCCTGTTGTTCTCTAATGTAACTATTTTGGTTGTACACATGATGTTTTTAGAGTTTTTTGTCTTCCCCTTTTTCCCCCGTTAAATTCAGGTTTGCTGTCAGCTGTCTTTTAGTAGCTTAAAAAAAAAAATACAGTCACATTTGATTTCTTAGTGTACTTTTTTATTAGTGTAAGTGGTGTTGTGGTCTCAGTGAATGAATATACTTCTGATTTTCAAGTAATTCATTATGTTTTTTACATTGTACAGTTTTAACGAATACTGCTTATCTACTTTTCCTATGGTCATATTAAGACTGTTATGGCTGGGTGTGGTGACATGCATCTTTAATCCCTATGCCCTGTGGGGCTGAGGCAGGAGGATCGCAAATTCATGCCCAGCCTGGCAACTCAGTGTATTAGACTCTTATCTTAAGATAAAAAGCACTAGGGATGCAGTGCATTGTGAAAACCAGGGGTTCAATCTTTAGTGTTACTGCCCCCTCCAACAAAAATAATCAAAAGAACTTTTACACATTAAATGACAATCTTTCTGACTCATTACTTAGTGTAGTGCCTAACTCTTAGTTTTATTTTGAGCATGTCAACTAATTTTTTGCAGTAGTATTGATATGGCCTTTTTTGATATTGTTCATTTATGAAAATAAAATGGAAAAATAAATATGCAAAGTAGTTTAAATAGCTTATATCTCAAAATCAGTGGTGTTGAGAAAAAGGTAAGACTAGGAATGCCAAAAACTTACATATATAGTCTCATTTAGACATGCACTATTTTGTCACTTGTGTGACAATATTATTAAATGTGTAACATATGAAAAAATACACTGTCAAAATTGTACCTAGAAGGCCAAATATATTTAGGGTTTTTGATATGTGTGTATATCAAATATATGTCTTTATATATAGTTAATTCACTCTTTAAACTCACATTTGAGGGCCATGGAGATAGCTCAGCAGTCTAAGTGCCTGCCTTGGCAAGTGCAAGGACCCATGCTGTGCTGGCCACTGAGACTGGGTATAGTGGCACATGCCTGTAATCCTAGTGCTGGGGGTGCTGAAACAGGAGGATCACTATGAATCCAAGTTGCATAGTGAGACCCTGTACCAAATACATGAAATTAAAAAAAAGTGATATTTTCACTTACCTCTTTTTTTTTTTTTGAATTTCCTTTTTTTGGGTGGAACCGGGGATTGAACTCAGGCCCTTAGCCTTACCAGGCAAGCGCTAATTCTACTGAGCTGTCTCTGCAGCCCCAACTTACCTCTTTTCTGATACAGCTTCCTAGGAATTAGTTATATAGCAATTTAAATCTGATACTTTTGAAACTATGGTGAATTTTAAGTGAAATTAATGAAATAGTTCACTGATTTGATTCTAATATTTAAGTGGTACTATTATTATTGCCTTTTCCATTGTTTTATCCATATATATATATATATATATATATAATACGGATATATATGTTGTGTAAACTGAAGGACAGGGTTGTTTTTCCTTGTTTGTCTCCTTTTTTATATGTGCATAGTTGTCTGTTTTAAGAAATTGGAAACAATTGTTATCTCTACTGCTAACTAATAAGGATGTTCTTTTATGGGCTGGTACTGTACTAGACTTTATTTAGAGTTAAATATAGTGGTACGTTGGATTGTGAGCTTCTTTCCACTGTTCTGGTTGCAAAGTAAATTGGACAAGAACCAAATCAAATTTCTCCATTAGGTAAGTACAACCTAACAACTGAATTCTGTTCTTGACCAATGCAATTTGTAGCCAGAATCGTGGAATTTTAAGTTTGTAAGCCAAGATACCACTGTATTTGTATTAAGATTAATGTTAGGCCATTGTATTTGCTTCTGTTTCCAAAGGCTGCCGTAATAAAGTTTTAAAGACTATGTGGCTTAAAACAACAGAAACCAAAATACAAAATTGGTATTATCTGCAGGGCCATGGTTTTATTGTTGGCTCTAGGAAAGAAACTCCTGTTTGCTCTTGTAGCTTTCAGCAATCCTTGGAATTTCTTGGCTAGTAGATATTATTTTAGTCACATAGCTACTTTCCTTGATTTTCTCTACATCCAGATTTATGTTTGTCTTAGTCACTTTTTGTGGCTGGGACACAAAAGATGACACCTGTAGCTTAATAGAAGTGGTTTTGGCTCACAGTTCTAGAGGTTTTAGTCCATGAGTGACAGGCTTCGAGGCAGAAACAGCATAGTAGGTCATGGTCCAGAAGCAGGCCAGGCTGCACCCAGGGTGGGTTTTCCCATGAGCCACAATTGTGTATGTTAGTGGAGTAATTAAGTACTGCTCACCTTAATTCTAGAATCATACCCTTTAAACCACTCATACATCCTAGATCCAGCCTCCTCTGAAAAGCCCCATGTATAAATGAGGGGTTTTTTTTGGTGGTGGTGGTGTTCCTAGATATAAGCCAAACATATGGTTTCAAGTTATTTTAAATATTTTTGTTTTCTAGTGAACCATCTAGATGTCTGTGTGTGTTATAAATGTATTACCAGAGAAAAAATAAACATTTGGAAGTAGACTGTAAATTAAAATTCTTTTCCTTCAGTTATTTTCTACTCATTTTCTTAAAGATAATTGTTAAATGAAAAAAACAATAGAAGCCAAGTGTTGTGATGTATGTCAGTAATTGTGGCACTTGAAGGGTGAGGCATGAGGCGTTCAAGGCCTTGAACCCTGTGAGTTCAAGGCCAGCCTGAAATGCATAGCAGGGCCCCTATCTCTATAGCGGTAATATACTGTCTATTTTTATTTACATGTAAGGAAAACAGATTTAAATGTTTGTGTGACCAAAAGAGTGTCATTTAAAAGGTAAAATAACGGTGTAGAATGTATATCAATAGTGTTTATTTTGAAGATGTAACTCCTTTACAGTATTACTTAATGCTTCTTTACAAAATTTAATAGAGAAACACAGCTAGGAGATACCTGCATCCTGAAGAGCCTTTTATAACTTCATTTTATATGATGGTAAACCTTATTATTTTCCATGAAGTTGAACAATTGAAATATTTTGGTCCAGATGATGAACCTGTTAATAATAACCTTTAGACTTATTAAAATGTAATATTGCAGTTGTTAGAGAATATAAAGTTTTTAGATCATATATCAGAAACAGAATGTTTCAGGCCGGGGAAATAGCTCAGTAGAATAAGTGCTTGCCTGGCAAGCGCAGGGTCCTGAGTTCAATCCCTGCTACTGCAAAAAAAACCAAAAAACAAAGCAAACAAACAAACACCCCAGAAACCAGAATGTTTCTATTTGTACAATAAAGAAAAGTAATTTTACTGTTAACTCTTAACAGTTTTTTATTGAAAATGTTTATAATTTTGCTTTTAACTTTTTATGAAGCCATTAGTGGATTATAAACTTAATAAAATACTTCACAAAAAGAAAGGACCAGTAGAATGCCAGATTAGTTTAAATGCATTTATTTAATTGAGTCAAGAGCTGTTTAAATTAAAGTATTTAGGAAATCATAACTTAATTAAAATGTGTGCAACAGGCTCTACCTCTGGTACTATATGCTGGATTTCTAAATATAAAGTGATTGCTGTATTACTTAAGCTAAGTGAAATTTCCTTCTCTACGTATGACTGGAGTTTAAAAGAGCACTATTATATATATTTAAACCTTTAGATCATAATTATAATAGTGAATAGGGTGGCAATATAAAGAAGGTTGTTAAAAATTATCCTTGCAATTTCACTATTTTAAAAAAAATTTTGGTCATTTTGAGACAGGGTCTTGCTGTCTCAAAATACACAGGTCTTGCTGTGCAGTTCAGGCTGAAGATTGAACCCAGGGCCTTTGCACTGAGCTGTATCCTCAGACCTTTTTTATTTTTTGAGTCAGGTTTCACTAAGTTGCCTAGGTTGGGGTTAAATTCCTAGTTCTCTTGTCTTTGCTTTCCTGAGTGATAGAGTTAAAGGTGTGTGCCACTATGCCAGGCAGATCTTACATAGACAAAAATACAGCTGAAACCAGTGTTAACTTCTTTTTTTTTGGCTTTTGCATTTGAGACCTTTTCTCTAAATGGAACCTGAAACTTCATTATGTAAAATGAAGTTTTTGCACATTTCTTACAACCCATGCATTAGTTTAACAATTTAAATATGCTAGGTCATGTTTTGTGTTTTAATATTTTGAAATGGGAGAAGTAGAAGTTTGTTATTTGAAGGAAATGAAAATTTTGACATGTCTAACTTATTTTAAAGGTATTGCGATTAAGGAGTCAGCAAAAGTAGGTGACCAAGCTCAGAGGAGGGTGATGAAAGGTGTTGATGATCTAGACTTCTTCATTGGTGATGAAGCAATAGAAAAACCTACATATGCAACAAAGGTAGGTTCCTATGATTTGTAAAAATAATGTTTTCAAAGCTTAGTTTGTTCAGTGATTATGTCTCTGGCATGTTCTGTTTTTTTTTTTTTTTTTTTTTAACGCTTGCCAGGGAAGCGCTTATTCCACTGAGCCATCTCCCTGGACCCTCTCTGGCATGATCTTAATCAGAGCAATTTCCCTGTAGCTCCTTTCCCTGTTGCTTTGATTGTACTTTCCCTCAGCCACATCCAAAAAAATGAAAATTTTCTACTAAATTGAAAGCAATGTTTACTTTTTCACACCCACTGGGTCTTGGCACCCTCAGTGGCTCATCTTTGTCCACATTGTTGAGTCTGGAGTGCTCCCTCACCTCTTTTAAGACAGGGCCTCAGTATTGTATAGGCTGTGGCTTACAAAATAAAATAGTCAGCCAAGTGAAATGTGAAGGCACAGATGTTTTAGGGCAAAAGAGGCCAGTTTGCAAGAGGGCTTTAAAAATCAGAGACTGGAACAGCACAACTAATGTATCTGAAGCATAGAGAAAGGTGAAAAGAGTTGATACCATTTAGGGATTGCACCTTTCTGAGTTTCAGTTTATTCATCTCTTTATAAAGTATTTGAACCTTAAGATTATTGTGAGGTTTAATGAGATAATGTATATTGTTATAGGCCTTTGAATATTGAGGAAAAATTATTTGGAGGTGGGAAACTTGGTACTGGAGAGATGAAATAATCTATTGCAGTAGTTATCCAAAATCAGAAAAAGAGGGAAAGGGATATGAATACAGTGATGGCAGTGAAAATGGGAGAATACATGTTTATGAGGTATGATTGAGAAATACAGAATGTTTAAATAAAAATTTTATTACGGTAAGAGACATTGCCATTAATCCCCCTGAGTATTCTCACTTTAGATGCACCTTGTCGTTTTTTCCACTTTCTGAAGAAGTCCTCTTTGTATTTGTGGTACGCTGAAAGCACCAGAGTTTCGAAAGGCAGGCTTGCATAAAGATTACATGCAGTATGGCTTCACTCGCCTTGTTCATGGAATCTAATGCCATGCAGCTGCTGACTTTTCCCAGTGTTAAAATGATCAGTAAACTTTTGAATAGATTTAGAACACTAAGGCAGCCACAGCAGTGTACCCTAAGATATTCCTGAAGAGGGCTTCCACAACTGCTTCAGAAAGCGGCAAGAACAATGAGATATGTTCAAAGTGAGGAAGAACGTTTTGAACTTATTGTGGGGATTGGGGTGTGGGGAGGCTCATGGCAATGGGTCTTTTTCTGTACTGTAATTTTTTTTCAGAAAAATTTTTAATGTTTTCTGTATTTTTTTAGTCACATCAAGTACACTGAAAATTTTTTTTAAAGGAGTCATTGTGAATTTTATGTTTTTATTCTTAAAAAGAACACACAAATATTCAAAGAAAAATTACAGGTGACACAGAATTTCACTTAACAAATACCAGTTTCACAGTGTTTATTGTAATACATAGTATCTTCCAGTTACTCATATTACCAGCCATCTTCATGCAAAATTGGAAGAAAAAAGAAATGTATAGTAAATTAAGAGAAAGAGTACAGTTGAAAAAAGGAGACAGAATAAATTAAGCATTATCTTTTCCTTTCCATATACCAACAGAAATACACAATATAGCAGAGAAATAGTTAATTCTTATGTGGCTATCACAAAGCTTTTACAGTTGTCAACATATATGAATAGTCTTATCTGCCATACCCTCATTATTTTATACTAAATATCTTGGCAATACTTGTCTTAATATTATCTAATTCTAGTCAGTGCTTAATTTTCCGTGATTTTTTTTTTTTTTTTTTTTTTTTTTTTTTTTAAGAGTCCACAGGTTGTTCATTTTTTTTTTTTTTTGTGGAACCAGGGATTGAACTCAGACCCTTGTGCTTTGTGCTTGCCAGGGAATCACTTATTCCACTGAGCCATCTCCCTTGCCCCCGTGATTTTTATATTACTTTTTTTTTTTTTTTCCTATATTTTAGGGAATGGCCCTACAGAGTATTCAGAGTCTCACTACTAGATTGGACTCTTAGTGATTCTCCTGTTTACAGCCTCCCAAGTTCTGGGATTACAGTGGTGCACCACCACGCCTAGTCTCATTTGCTGTCTCAGCGTGCCCCAAGGGGCAGAGCGGGCAAGGCAGGCCCTGGATTGAACCCCTGGCCCCTGCACCTGCTTGCAGGCACTTTAATCCGCTGAGCTCTTTGGCCTGCCCAAGATAGTTCTTATTCTTTATCACAGTGGCTCTCCGGCATCCTTGAAGGTTTTTTTTTTTTGTATTTTAGGATAGGTTGTACAGGGTGTTACAGGGTCTACTGCATATATCAGATTCATAGTGATGCTCCTGTTTACAGCCCCCCAAGTGCTGGGATTATAGGCATGCGCTACCACGCCCAGTCTCAATTGCTGTCTCAGTGTGCCCTGGGGTGGGGCCAGCACAGCAGGTCCCAGGGGTCCCCTACTTTTGCCTGAGCAGGCGCTTAATCTGTTTTTAATATTATTGTCTTTACTGTTTTCGTTGTTGCTGTGACAAGATACCTAAAGGAGGAGAGTTTTATTTTGTCACACAGTTTGTAATGGCCTTGATCCATTGTCTCCTGGCTCCAAGGCATTGTAACTTGGTAGAAGGGTATGGCTGAGGAGAACTGCACATAGGCATCTAGGAAGGAGAACACAGGCATCAAGGTAAGAGCTGTGGAGTGAGAAGCTCTTCCAGCTTATATCCCCAGTAACCTGTGTCTTCTTAACAGATGCCATCTCCTACTAATAAGTCAGCTGTAATGCCCCCATAATCCAGTCACTCTTCAGAAGCCTTGCCTGTGAGACATAAGGCTCTTGGAGGACGGCAATATCTAAACCATAACATTGACACTTATTAATAGGGATGGAGCCCAAGGTTTCCCACTCCCAACACTGAATAAGGTCCTAGTGAAGATAAGATCTGTTCAACTTAGTTTATAAGTTTCTTTACCCAGAGATGCTTCTCCTTTTGTATGTGTGTATCTTTTTCTGTTGGCAAAATTAGTCTAATAAAATTTCCTATTTTCCATGTTCTATTAGTTGCATCTTTATTGTGTTATTTAGCATGATCCATATTTTTTGTTATGAAATGATAGTTAAATCTGTAAATCTTAATAAGATACCTCTGATCCAGAATAAAAAAAAAAGTGGATACTTAAAGAGTCATAGTGGGTGTTTAGTGAGATACTGGTGATAACTAGAGCTCCTAATTAATCTCTTTATACCACATCCCCTGAGATTGAAAAACATTTAAAAAACACTGGCATAGGGTGGAAAGGATAAATTTAGTTTTGAATACATTGTGTTTGAAGTAATAGTGAGACATTTGACATATCACTAGACTGTTTCTCTCTCCCCCCCTATATATGAATTTTTGAACTCAGAAACAATATAGGGTTAAATACAGATTTGAAATATGTCAAGTACTTTGGTAAGGAATGCATTTACCTTGTGTAGACGGGTGGAAGAGGTCTTGAATGGATCCTGAGCAATGTCAGGAAGTTTGAATAGAGAAAGGGGCAGAACTGGACATAGAGGGCGGGCCAAATAGCTCAGTGGATTAAAGTAAACAGCAGATAGGCATGGGAGCCCAGTTAGATCCACAGGCCTGCTGTGTCAGCCCCCTCTCCCCCTGTGTGCTGAGACAGCAAGTGAGACTGGGTGTGGTGGCACACTCCTATAATCCCAGCACTTGGGAGGCTGTAAACAGGAGAATCACTAGGAGTTTGATCTAGTAGTGAGAACCTGAACACCTGTAGACACTTCCCTAAAATACAAAGAAACCCCCAAAAACCAAAAAAAAAAAAAAAAAAAAAAACCAAACTAGAAGTAGAGATAAATCTGTGGAATGCTACTGAGATACCAAGTAATCATAGGATTCACTGTTCTTATGCTTAACCAAAAGAAGCTCATTCATAGCATTAACGAAAATAAGTTTAGATGAGTGGTGAGTTTGGATGAAGACAAATGTACGAATGATAGGATTAAAGACAAAAGACAAAGAATATTGGTAAGTAATGGTTGACTATGATCAGTAGGTAAAAATAGATATAAAATTGCAAGATTCATATGAAAGACGTGGCTACTGTGAAAGGCTATTAGAAAAAGGAGATTATCAGGAGAGATGGGTATAATCCAAATCTCTGTGAAAGCTGGAGGGATAAGATCTAGAGCATAGATGAAGAATATTTCTTACATTACAACATAAGTGAAAGGAATCAAAAGAGTAAATATAGCATCACTTTTACAGATTTGTTGAATAGAGGCTTGTATTCTTGGCTGCTGATGTCTGCTTTCTCTTGAGTTTGACATCATCTGATTGATACTCAGGGAAAGGATTCTTATGAGGAGGTGAAATCTGGATGGTAGGGAGGAAAATAAAGGTAAATAGTAGGGAGGTAGCCTTTAATTTTTTAAACAAGTTTCTTTGACAATAATAGGAATTCTTATTTTTAAAGCATTATTTTTGTCACTTAAAACTTTTTTTTTCTTGTTTTAATTTGCCTAGCTTTCTGACCCTGTGCATGTACCTTCAGTACTTGACAAGAGCTGGGCACGGTGGCATGTACCTGGAATCTCAGCACTGTGGTGGAGGCTGAGCCAGGAGGGTAGCAAGTTTGAGTCAAGCCTGGGGGTAACTTACTGAGACTGTGTTCAAATAAAAAAAGGACTTGTGATGTAGTCCAGTGGAAAGACCTCTGTTCAATCCCCAGTACCCCCAAAACAAACACACAACACCACAAACAGACAGCATCGGGCTCTGCTGACAAGGTTTTTCATTTTCAGACCTTGTGAAAACTTCAGATCTTACAGTACAACCCCAGGTTTGCCTTGGCACATGTTAAATTGGGTGTTGGGTTCTACAAAACTTGGTTTGAAGGCTACAATTTTACCAGAAGTTCAGGAAAACCTGTTTTGTTAGAGGATTACTATAAGCCTGTGGATGTCAAATGCTAGACCATTAAACAAAATCCTCAGAGGAGCTAAAGTCTTAATTTTATTAACCTAATTATGTACATTTTTCTTCAGTATAATCAGCATTATCATTATAGGCAAGTTTAAGATAGTCACGATGTGTTGTGTTTCGGTAGTCAGGGGTTGTGTTTTGGTAGTAGGATGACAGAAAATGTGAATAGTCAGTTGATGGAGCCTAAAGTCTAAATTGTGTGTATTGAAGGGTAGGGATTAATTAGGTTAATCAGTGGGCTGAAAATCTTAATTATCATCTGAAGAGGTGTATTGTGTACTAGAGTAATGGTTTTTGATTAGGAAGCAGTATTAAGAAGTAGCATACCTATGTTTCAGTAATTTAGAGATGATAGTATTAAGACTTGTACTCACCAGAGGTGAAAAGAGATCATTGAAGGTGATGAAATCAGTTAGCTGACAAGTTAAAGTTCCTTCCTACCAATTCTGTCTTTTGGTTTTAACCACATTTTCAAGTCTTCTAAGTGCTACAGACAAACTGAAACAACAAAATTTCTGTCTATTCTTACCTGCGGTAGAAAGCACTGTGGCACTGTGCTACCCCACTGGCTTGGGGCTTTTTTTTCTTAAAGACTTCCCCTAGATAATCTCGTACTCTTTCAATTGCTTGATCATATCTTCAGTTACTTTTCTACAATTTCTTTTCTGTCTCTTGAGTTTAATGGATAATTTATAAAATATTCTTTTTTCTTATTTACTCTTAAGACAATGCAGAACAATTTTTTTTTTTTTTTTTAAAGAGAGTCTTGCAAGGTAGTGAAGGCTGGGTTTATAGCTCAGCCCAGGCAGGTCTCAAATTTGAGGGGATCCCTTGCCTCAGCTACCCAAAGGGGATTATTATAGGTGAACACCACCATGACCAACTAAAGTTTTGTAAATTTGTGTTTTGACTAATGGATCCTATCCATCCTGTTTTCAAAAATAAAACCTACTGATATCTCAGTTTTTCTCCACATTTTTATTGACTAAACAACCTGGACTCTAGCCCAGTATCATTTATACTGTAATTAGAAATGTTCTTTCTTGATTTCTCTTAAATTCATTTCCGCTTTCTCAGTCCAGCTATAACAATTTTCCTCAAAATTGAAGCTTTTCTTACTTTTCCACTGCTTAAAAAATTTTGATGCCCCATTTCATACGGGATAAAACTAAAACACAAGATAAACATAATTTAGAAAAAAAACCAAAACAAAACAACATAATTTAGAGAATTTAGTCTCTTTGATCTAAAACTAGTACCTTTCTATACCTCTATCCCCTAAGTTTTATACCATTTGTGTATTTGTCATTGGTATGTTACACAGTGTATGTATGTAAATGTTCTTCTCCACTCTACCCTATCCTTGCCAATAAATAAATAAAATTTAGAAAATGAAAAGGTTGCTTCTTTAGGATTCACTTTACATGTAACTTCCTTAGTGAATCCAGTTTGGTCATCTTATTGTAGGAACTATTTTTTTAGAAACCTGTGATGGAGTATTTGTATGTTGCTTGCTGTGTTTCTTGCAAGTTGGTGATCCATGGTCTTACCAGTTATACCCATAGTTCACAGTTGGTGCGTAATAATAGTCAGTGAAGAGATGAATAAATAGGTCTTAGAATAATTTGTAAACCTTCATTAATATGTATTATGAAATGAATGATACAATAAAACACATTTTTTTCCTTTCCTACCACAAACTGGGTAGTAGAAATTATAAGTTTAATTCCTTAGAAAGTAAAAGTAGATGGTGTTGGGGATTAGTAAATACTACAGGATATTTTACTTGTTCATTCACGAATTCATTCTGTCTTTTAAGTATTGAATGTGTATCGTATTTATGGAACTATATTCTGTTGCAGAGTTTTACTGTGCCTTTGGGGTTTCAGTAACGTTTTCATAGTACCAACTAGATTTAAAAAAAAAAAAAAGTATCTTCTGTTGGTTAAGTAGGTACATTCAAGCAGCTTGGCAAACCATTTGAAAGAAAGTATATGCTTAAATTGAAAATAACTTTATTTCATTGTTAAACAGTGACTGTTAGGATGCTTATTTCTCATAGGAACTTCACAGTTGCTGAAACTGGAATCTGATTAAACGTTATCGCCCTCATTTTGGTTTTACATATGGTGTTTTCTGTGATGTATGGTTTTTATCACAGAGCAACTCACAACCTAGCTTTTCAAAGAAATATTGCCACTGAAAGGAATATCGTATACTCTGATGTTGAAATAAAACTCCTTAAGCTAGTTTATATCATGTAGTATCAAACATGAAGTATATATGGGCAATTTGTGGTGTTCCTGTGAATTTGCTGCAATGCAGTTTTAGAAACAATTCTACACAGATCAGTTCAACCCTTCTTGCAGATTTTACATGCTTGATTTTTATGATTATTCTAGTTACATTTTTACTGGATGTGTTTTACTTAGGTGGAACAGTAGTGGTTTTGTTTAGTTTTTTTGATAGGGTCTCACTTGATCTCTCGGACTCAAGAGACTCAAGTAATTCTCTTCCCTCAACCTTTCAAGTAGCTTAGACTACTTGCCGCTACACCTGGCTACCAAGTTAACTAATTAATTTTATTATCATTATTGTTTAGTTTTTTTGAGGGTATCTTGCCATGTATTGCAGGCTGGCCTTGAACTCATGTGGCCCAGACTGGCCTCAAACTCATGGCAATCCTCTTGCCTCAGCATGCATTACCATACCCAGTGACCAAATATACTTTATATATTAGGCATACAACAAAATTTTGTTAGTGACCTAATAAATTAAAAATTAAGGAAACTGTGGTGAACTATGGTTTTCATAGGATTAATTTTAAATTAAAAAAAAATCAAGCCATAAATTGAGTGTGGTGGCACACCCCTGTAATCCCAGCACTCTGGAGGCTGAGGCAGGAGGATGATTCTGAGTTTGAGACTGGCCTTGGCTACAAGGTGAGTTTAAGGCCAGCCTGAACTACACAGTGAAACCTGGGCTCAAAAATACCCCCCCCCCAATCAAGTCATCTGTTATCTAGAGTTAACATTTTGAGTGTTTTGAAATTTATGTATTCCGCTGAACTATCTGTTGAATGTGCATTGGGAAATAATTTCATTTGTCTGTAAATACTTAAGTTTTATTTTATTTTTTTAAATGTATTTGGTTGTTGCAGGGTCTCACTATGCAGCTTGGACTTGTGGTGATCCTCCTGCTTTCAGCCTCCCCAGTGCTGGGATTATAGGTGTGCGCCACTGTGCCCGGACTGTGGCTGGCTCAGTCTGCCCTGGGGTTGGTGTTGTCGTGGCCTGTGGTACCTAGGTTTGAACTGCCATCTCTGAACTTGCCTAAGCTTGCCTAAATGCAGGTGCTTTAGTCCGCTGATCTATCTCGCTGGCTCCCAGTGTGTATTTCCTAAGGGTGATCTATAATACTGTTACCACACCTAAGGAAGTGCATCTCTGTTTTATATAATCTGATTTCTCCACCACTGGGTATTTTTATTTAGTTTTTGATGTAAGATATAACTTATGAAACTTTTGTTTTAATAGTGGCCAATTCGCCATGGTATAGTTGAAGATTGGGATTTAATGGAAAGGTTTATGGAGCAAGTGATCTTTAAATATTTAAGAGCAGAACCTGAAGACCATTATTTTCTTTTGGTAAGTACAAATTACCATTTTGGGGTGAAATTTAAAGAAAACTTACTGAGAACATTTTTATACTTGAATCACTATGGTATATTGTTCATTAGATTGTTGTTTATGTTAAAGACTTTGTTATAAAGCTGTGATATCTTCATAGCCATCTAGTCACAGGTTTCAGTGTAGTAGTAGTATGTCCAAGCACCAAAATATAAGTTAACTTCATAAGGTAACTTAACGAAGTGCTTTTGATAATATGTAATCATCATGGTAGGAATGATAATGTTCCTATGTATTTCCCTTATAAAGATAGGCTGTTGCTTTGCTGTTCTTAGTAAGAAAAGTTATGTATACTTCAATTTTTAGACTTTTTCTCTCAAAGTGTATTATATAGCTATTTAAATAATTGCCTTTAAAAAACTTAAAAGTTGTATTTTGGTTGCTTTTCAAAATATTAACTGTTACTTGTTAACTTTTTAGGATGAAAGAAAAATTTCTTTGGTTGTTGTAGGGTCTCACTATGTAGGAATTTTTTTCCCTTTAATCAGCTATCCTTCAACACATAGGGCTGATCTTTTCCCCTTTCTGCTCATTATAATTACATTGTTAGTATTCAGTATTTGTTTTTAAGGAATATACAACTATTTATTGACCACCGTTCATCATTATTTACAGTAAACAGTACACATTAGGATAACATTCTGACTACTACAAAGTTGTTTTCCTGGCTTCTGCTGAAAACAGCAACCTGAATACTGAAAAGATTAAGCCAACATGTAAGGAATAAGTTGGAGTCAAGAAAAAACATGCAGGTCAATAGTTTAGATTACAAGTTTGTCCACTCATTTATTTTAGGTCCTAAATTGTAAACACCTCCAGCCACTTTGTAAGTTTCTGTGAGCCAAGTCTTAAGACATATGAATCCTGACTTTTGAGTGCAGATTTCAAGTTGCTGTCAAGTAATGAATCTTGAGGGATTTTTAATACTCCTTGTTAAGTCTTAGTGTATTCAAGCAAACCAAGTTTTGGCTTGCTACCTTTGGGTGGGAAAGTTGTTGGTAGAGATTAAGTAGTTCCTTCCTTTATCAGTATTTTATTATGACTTTGTGAATATTGTTTATGAGCAGACCATAAAGTTCAAAGAATTCTATTGTGGACACTTATATACCTACAATTTAGACTGAGCATTTTACTATAATTGTCTTATGACATCCATCTGTTTATTCATTGTCAATTCATGTTGGTTTTAAATCACTTTAGAGTGGGCTGCAGATGGAGTTACTTCCTGCCTAAATAGTTGAGTATGAATTGTCAACCAGAGTTCATTATTTGTTTATGGCTATTCTTTTTATGTAAAATTTATATACCATGAAATAACATCTGAATTGTTCTGTGAATTTTGACGAGGGGTTGGCAAATTAATCTTTTAATCAGTCAGCAAAAATTTTTAGCCTCACAGTCATAAATTCTTTGAAGAGATTTAATGAGAATTTAGTGATCTCTATGGCAGCTACTTCAGTTCTACTTTGTATTAGGAAAGCAGTCATATACTTAAAGCAGTAGACAAGACTTAAAGAATATGACTAAGTTCCAGTAAAATTGTATTTATAAAAGGTGGTGGGCTGGATTTACTTAGTTTGTGAGATGCCCGACTTTTGGTTTGATAGTCGCATACATTTTTGTGACTTAAACCCATGTCAAGATATGTAACATTGCTGTCAACTTGGAAAGTACTCCATACCCTTATTTTTGCCCCTTCTCGCCTAGAGGGAATCAGTATTCTGTTTTTTTTTTTTTTTTCTTCTTCCCCCAAATGAGATTAGTTTTGCTTGTATTTGAGTTTCACATAAATGGAATCACACAAGATGTAAATTCTGGTGAAATTTTGTTCACTCAGCATAGTTGTGAAATTCCTCCGTGTTTCTAGTTTTTGATTTATGATTTGGGTATTGTGAACATTGTTGTATGAGTCTTTGTGGGCATTGGTTTTCATTTCTGTTGTATTATATACATGTGGTATTGCTGTGTCATAGGGCAGATGTATGGTTGTTTTTAAGGCAGCTTTTTGTACTTTTCCTAAGGAGTAGTACCTTTTTACACATCCATCAGCGAACATGTTAGTGATAGCTTGCTCTTGTATTTTATCCAACATTTAGTATATCAGTTTTGAATTGTAGCTATGCTGGTGTGTTTATAGGACAGCAGTTTTTATTTTCAGTTTGCATTTTCCTGATGACCAATGATGTTGAACACTTTCATGTGCTTATTTAGCTATTTGTGTGAACATTGTGTGTGGCTCTTCGATTATGTTTCATATAGACCATCTCTTTATCAGCTTATGATTTTGACTCCTTTAGTTTTTAGCTTAGTTTACATAATTTTTTATTAACCTGTCTCTAAATTATCTTTAAGCTCTTCAATGTAGTTCCAAAATTGTAAGTACATTTAAATAGAGCAAGAAATTTTCCTTTTGAAGGTTTTACACACAGAAAAATATTTTCATGCTTTTCTACTTTATAGTGTCTTTTAAAGTAAAAAGGATGTAATTTTCTATGAATTCATGTTTTATCTTTTTGTGGTTTGTTCTCTCTGACTCAATTTTCTCAAGAGGATTTTCTGGTTCATTGCTTATAGGAATTGAACTGAGCTTCATATCCCTAGTTCTTTTAAAATTTATTTAAAACTTTTGTCCTTCACATTTAAATGATTGAATTACCAAATCAGCCTCTTTAGAATCAGATACAGTACTCAGTGTCAAGCCTTAATAATTTGAATGATTTAGTGATTGTGGGACATAATTGAAACATGCAGTTCAGCATTATTAATTCTGTTGACCAAGCCTTTGCCTCATTAACATGTGTTCTGATCTAGACTTAGCTTTATAAAAATTTTTTTTTTTTTTGGCAGAACTGGGGATTGAACTCAGGCACTTGTGCTTGCCAGGCAGGCGCGTATTCTACTGAGCTATCTCCCCGGCCCCAGCTTTATAAAGTTTCTGAACAGCGATATTTACAATCAATATAATTTAAACGTAAGAGAACTATGTAAATATCTTTCATCAAAATTATTTGGTACTGTCTTTTGATAATGATATTCAATTCAATAGACTGAACCTCCACTGAATACTCCAGAAAACAGGGAATATACTGCTGAAATAATGTTTGAGTCCTTCAACGTTCCGGGCTTGTACATTGCTGTGCAGGTAAGCAAGTTCTATGTAGGTAAGCTTGATTTGTACATTTCAATTTGATTTAATTGTCTGTTAAAGCACACTTTTTGCCTTTTTTCAATGAAAAATAATTTATTAACTTAAAAGCATGTTGTAGAAACAGTTTTATAGGAAATGGATCTGTTTAATTAGAAAAGAATTGTTAAACTAAGTTTTTAAATATTTCAAGTGGCAACAAAAAAAAAAAAAAGAAAAAGAAAAATTTCAAGTGGCTTCATGGGACAGAAACAAACTAGTATTTACTGAATGCTTATTTCATGCCCAGAACTTCCTGTATTTCTGTTACATTTGTTGTGTATTTTTACCACAAACTGTTTCACTTACCAGATTTAATTAATAGATTGACTTAACTTTAGGTAAATTTGATCACACACTTGATGTGCTCCTCTGTATATCTTGTGTATCATAAGTTCCTTTCATTGCACTTAATTTGTACATGTATCTTTATGAAATGACTTCTTTCCCACCCATAAGGATCATGGTTTTCCTTTGACATTTTTTTATTTTTTTATTTTTTATTTTTTTATTTTTATTTATTTATTTATTTTTTTAATTTTATTTATTTGTGTGTGTGTGTGTGTGTGTGTGTGTGTGGCCAGCTCAACCCACCAGGGGGCGGGGCTGGCTGGCATGTGGTGCTGGG